TGGTAAATATGTTTTAGAGGTTACATCCTTGGGTTTCATTTTAATCGTGGAATGCCTCGTATTGTTATATTTCGAGGTTATTTCCGGTAGCACATCGATCCACTTATATTTTCCTTGAAGACTAAATGCCTTGTATAAGGCGTTTTTCAGCGTTCTTATCGTCCTCTCAACTACAGCGGCCTTTTTCACACTATACGTAGAGTAATGATTTATCGCATGCGTTTCCGTTAACTTTGCAAACTCCTTATTATAGAATTCCTTTCCTTGATCAGTTTGTAAATTGACTGGCACTCTTCCTTCTTTCAAAATAGATGTCATAGCCTTACACACTTCACCGGCATTCTTTGATTTTAAAGGTCGTGTCCAAAGATACTTCGAATAGCAGTCTATTACCGTCAGCATGTATTTATTTCCCCGGTTCTCTTTAGAGTACTGTATGAATTCGGCTAAATCCGCTTGCCATAAATCATCGCGATGTTTAATAATGGTTCGTTTTCGAGGAAAATTTTTGCGAGCGGGCTTATGTAGCTCTTCGACAACCTCAAGCTTTGACATCTTACACTTAACTCGGAGGCTAATCGAAACCTAGCCTAGTTCTATGGTGTTTGTTTATTTCCTTTTCTAACTCCTCCAAATAATTTTTATGTCCGTCTAAGATTGACATAATTGTATTTAGACGCACTGCGAGAAAACCGCTGGTTACTGCTTCATCATGTTCCACCGGATCTGCTACGTGTCTTAAACGATTACTCTCCATGTTATACCGATTCATTGTGTACTTAGCATGCAGCTCGCTAATACACCTATCCACATATTGTTTGGTGGCAACATCGCTACCCCAATACGGGTCGATAACGTTACGAATCCTCTTATTTTGCATATTATAGTCCCCATCACCGGTTAATTTCAAATTAACTTTTGCACATTCACCTGTTGTCTCCTGATCACTGCGAATCCTATTTCTTGATGATGAATGACGTCCAAACTTGTCAACGCTCATTGTTACACTAAACTATTATGCCTTCTTCTCTGAGCTCCTCCTCAATACTTGAGATTTCATTGTTGTGACCGGTGTGACCGGCTACTCTCGATGCATGCAGCAATCTAAGACGTTCGACTAATTCGTGGGGCGTATTCCAATACACGTACTCTTTAACTGTATTGTTTACCTCTTTCATACCCGTTCCATAGTGCTCCGATAGTAGTGGTTTAAGGATATTGCGATATTTATGCGACTTGGTACCCACAATCTGATGACCTGGATCGTAATTCCTTCGGTAGCCATTAGTGACATCTAAAATTTCCTTATACACTCGTCCATCCTTGGAAGAAAATTCTTGAGGCTTTTTCAGTACAAGCAATTCATACAACCCTGGAGTACCGTTGTAAATTTTATCCTTTATTATTAAATTCGGTCCGTCAAATGTCACTTTAGAGTCTCCAATAGCCCACTGATCGAAATTGGCATCATATCGAAGACCATAAAAGTGATCAATGTCGCCTTTGGTATCTTTAATCATTCGTTCGATATATTGGCGCGGCAAAACATGATACTGATTTAGAAATTGTTGAGCGGCGTCTTCAGTGTCGAGTAATTGTGATAAGTTAATCGTTTCAGTAGTGTCCTCATCTTCACCTTCTTTCCCGTTATCATACGCTATGTTACTAATCTCATCAGTTTCGATAAAATTAAGTCGTTTAGCAGCTGCTGTGATCGGTCCATTTTCAGAGCGCTGTGGTGTTCGGAACTGTTCTTCTTCTTGAATTGGGGTAGATTCATATTCGATTTTATGTTCAACTTTCGGTATCAATTTAGGTATCTTGGGTTCTTGCTTAGCTATCTTTTTAAGTGGTTCTACTATTGGCTTATATGTTGTTTCAACCAAGCGTTGAGTTTCAAGCTCGCCTCTTTTTAGCACTTCAAGCTTACGCTTGATAGCATTGCGGGTCTTCGTCAATTTCTGCTTTATCGTTTTATCTCTTGCGTTCATTTTTATGGCCTACACAGAATCGACTAACAGATTTTCAAACTGGTACCGGTTCAAATAGCTGTTGGACCGGATAGCAAAGCCAATTGATAGCTGTTGGACCAGTTGGCAAAGCAGATGGACCAGTTGGCAAAGCAAAGATGGACCAGTTGGCAAAGCAGTTGGACCAGTTGGCAAAGCTGATGTACCAGTTGGAAAAGCTGATGGACCTGATGGGCAAAGCCGTTGGATAGCTGTTGGACCGGTTCTATTAAATCAGATTATAATCTAATATAGCAGTCGAACCCTTTTCGATATCTACCATAGTCAAAGTCTTTCACTATACAGATAAAATTATACTTATCGATCCAACACTTTGAACACATTAATTTAAACTGATCAAAGGTCATATCTGTACCAACGTGCTCGTCATACACATGTTTTAAATTTAAATAGTCTTGTTTGAATAGAACAATAACGTTAACATTATCGCGTATTAATTGTTTCGGTATCTTTGAATATGTTTGACAAAGATAGAATGAGTCCACCCCGGAATGTCGTCCTCTGCAGAAGTAATCTCTAATTACGTCTTGATTTAGACAGGCCACGTCATCAAAGATCATTATCGAATTCTTATTAATCTCTTCGAGAGTGATTACGTCAGCCTTATCGCTAAAAGCATTGTACTCAATACCCTTGATAGGTGTAAGTATTTGCTCCAGGTACTTGTACTTTGGCTGCTCTAGCGACTTTGAGTATACATACACGTTTTCAAACGAAAGGCCGTGCGGTGCTTCCAATAAACTAATCATGACATTTGTCTTTCCGCACCCCGAAGGACCGCAGATCACTGCTCTAATTGATGCTGGAAATAAAGGCCCATGCCTCCCCACTACTTCTGATTTTAGAAAATCGTGATTATCTACGTTTAAATGTTGAGGCTGCTTTATAAACATCATTATTAGTCGCTGGTTCTAGTTATACTAACAGTTCATGGCTAATCACCGAGTAAGAAAGGGGTTGATTAACACTTTAATAAACAAATTACCAGTAGAACTTCATATTCCCGGATATCAGTACTGCGGCCCTGGAACAAAGTTGGAACAGCGTTTAGCTCGCGGTGATTCTGGAATAAATCCGTTGGATGCTGCATGTAAACAACACGATATCGCGTACGGTCAATTCAAAAACTTAGAGCATCGCCATCAAGCTGACAAGGACCTTCAAAACCAAGCTTGGAGTCGCGTAAAATCGAAAGATTCGAGTTTTGGAGAAAAAACTGCCGCTTTAGCCGTAGCCGCCGCGATGAAAGTTAAAAGGAAGCTAGGAATGGGAGTTGCGCAACGCAAGAAGAAAGAAAGAAAAATGAAGCATAAGAGTTGCTCGTTTAGAGGAGGAGTTCTATCGCATGCTCGAAATTCAATAAGGCGGATGAAAGATGCAAGCATAAAGAAACTTGTCGATGTGAGTTTGGCCGCGGAAAAGAAAGCGGTTAAAGTAGCGGGCGGTAAAAAGAAGGTGCGAGTGCCGAGAGTTATTCCTATACCTAAAATTGGCGGCTTTCTTCCTTTCCTTATACCGTTATTTGCGGGCCTTTCGGCTGCCGGTGCACTAGCCGGTGGAGCAAGTGGGATAGCTAAAGCGGTTAACGAAGCATCTGCAGCTAAGAAGCAATTGGAAGAGAGTCAACGTCATAATGCCACAATGGAGGCTGTGGCGTTGGGCAATAAAAGCGGTGGAGCACTCTACCTTAAGCCATATAAGAAGGGTTACGCCTTATATTTGAAACCTTTTCCAAAAAACGACTAAACTTGCCGCGGAAAGCATTAACCAATTTCGATCTGCATAAATACGCTAAAAATGTACCGTTCTTTATAGGAGTATTCATGCGCAACACATTACCTCAAAAGCCCCATTTTAACGAATGCGCTATTGTGAACCTGGATGATAGCCAGGGAAGAGGTACTCATTGGGTTGCTTTCAAGAAACGCGGCAGGAAAGCGGTTTACTATGATAGTTTTGGAGACTTAGGCCCTCCAAATGAAATAGTTAAATACTTAAAAGGTTGTAAGATTGTTTATAATTATGATAGAGAGCAAAACTATAACACATTTATATGTGGACACTTGTGTTTAAACTTTCTGTATAATAAATAATTTACATCTAAAACGCTAGTTTTCATTTCTACCTATCAATCATGTCTCGAACGTTCACGCTAACGGGTGTAGGAAACGTGCTCAGTACTACGTATTTCCCACCAATAGAGCTTGACTCGAGTTTCCAATATGGCTTGGGATTGGTGGGATTTTACGGATGCAATTCTATACGAAATATATTCGAAGGTAATAATAAATTTTATTATACATCGAACGATGCAAAGGAACAAGAGATTACAATTCCAAGTGGAGCATATGAAATTGAAGAGATCAATAGGTATTTGCAGAAATATATTAACCAACCAAACGACTCGATGGATTTTATCTTAAGACCCAACAATAATACCTTAAAGTGCGAAATGGAAACCAAACACAATGTTGATTTTACCAAGACGGGTTCTATTGGGCGCATGCTCGGATTCTCGCCATCTATTTACAAAGGAGGTATGGTTCACGAGTCCGACTTGGATGTGCAAATAGTCAACGCCACAAATATACATGTTGAGTGCAATTTAACCGGAGGAGCGTATCGGAATAGTGAAAAATCTCACACCATTTTTGAATTCGACGTGCACGTTGAACCAGGCTATCGTATGGTCAAGGAACCCACCAGCATTATATATTTACCCGTACTTACCCATCAAATTGATAACATTACCTTGCGATTGCTTGACCAAGAAGGTAAACTAGTGGACTTTGGTGAAGAAAAAGTGACTATTAGATTGGAATTGAAAAAATATGGGCCTTAAAATCTTTTACAAGAGCGGATCTTCACTCAGTCAGGCTTCGCGTACAGACGAGCAAACATCGTCGGGTGCATTAACTGAAAACGACGTAAAGTTTCTGGAATATCTTGGTTACAAAGTACTCCGAAAATATGGAAGAAGCGCTGAAAAATCTCTTCAGTAGCGTAAAGTATGAGGATATGATTGTGGAATGCGATCGGCGAACCTACCATCCTTACTCGACGAATGCTTATGGTAACTCGGACGAAATCAATCTTGTAATTCAAAAGGCGGATCTTATCACGGCCACCTACGATAGCGTGATCTACTTGGAGGGAACGCTTACTTCATCGGAAGCGAAGCAGTTCGAGTTGACCAACAATGCTCCACTATTTCTCTTCGATGAAATTAGATTTACGCTGGGAGATCAAGTGATAGAAATCGTGAGATTACCCGGAATAAACAGCGCAATCAAGGGATTTTGTTCCTATACAACGGACCAAAGTAATTGTTTATCACAAGCAGGATGGAGTCCCCGCAATAAACCTCTGCAACTCCTAAACGCCAACAAGACAGCCTTCTGTGCATCTATACCGCTAAAACATGTGCTAGGATTCGCGGAAGGGTATAAAAAACCATTAGTCAACATACGACAAGAACTAACATTAATTCGCTCAAAAACCGATGAAGACTGTTATAAAAGCGAAGCGGAGGTGAAAATTAGCCTTAGTAAAGTAACCTGGAAGGTTCCATACGTAATTCCTAACGATTCCATGAAGCTGTCTATATACAGTAGAATTGATAAAAATGTTCCGATCCAAGTAGCATTTCACGCTAGAGATTTATATGCGTATCCAGCATTGCCATCAACCCGCTCTTTGGTATGGCCGGTAAAAAGTAGCACCGGTTTTCAACGACCTCAATGGCTTCTGGTGGCCTTTCAGACTAAGAAACGAAACCAAAAAGGAGAGAATGCATCGCAGTTCGATCATTTAGGCGTCGAAAATATAAAAGCGAACATCAACAACAGAAGATACCCGTATGAGCAGCAGAATCTCTCCTTCGCGGACAACAAGTATATAGATGCCTACGAAGAATATCTAAACTTTCGGACGCAATACTACGATTCTGAAAGTAGTTCTCTTCTCAGTTACGAGGAGTTTAAGAAACAACCAATATTCGTAATCAACTGTACTCGTCACAATGAAAGTATTCATAATGTGGTTATCGACTTGAAACTGGAAGTTGAAACATCTGAAGCATTTGCAGCCGACACCTCCGCTTACTGTATAATTTTGCATGATGTTTTAATTGAATACGAGCCATTTACTAATATAGTACGTAAAATTTAATTTGCATATGCGATTTTAATGTACCTATTGCGAAAATATATAATACATTTTGAAAATGGTGCTTTTCTTTTCCCTATTTATATATAAACAACAAACTTATCACCAAACTATTTTATTGTTTCTCCTTCAGCATTTTCTCGGTTACATCTTTTACAAATCTTTAAGGGTGAATATTTACAATTTCTGCTAAAAATGAAAAATCTCTTAAACATGAGTGTGCAACCAACTTTTTTAGTAACTTAAGATTTTGACAGAAAAATTTTCCTCTTGACAAAATGTTTTGTTCATCGAACAGACCGTCCTTGCAAAGATCATCCGCTACTTCATCCGCAAAGTCCTGATAGTACCAGTACGTCGAATAATCGCTTAGAAAATCCAATTTTTGATGTACAAAATGTACAGCGGAGAGGAAACGATTTACGGCTTCTTCGGTTAGCACTATGGAATTGAATCCTTGACTTATTCTTATACCCCTACTACCATTTTCACAGTCAGCCAACGTAATTTTTATACCGTACCCTACGAACACTTCATGTTCCAACTGGTCGGTACTTTTAAGCATGAGTCGAATGTTGTGCTCGGTTTTAATAGCGGAAATATCGCTCCATTCGGAAATATTAAAATGCAAACAACTTTCTCGGAGTGGAGGGCAAAATATCTGCACCACTGGCTCGAAACTATTCCTCAATGAATTTCCCACTTCTAGCAAAGTTGAGCAATCGAGAAACATGGACCATGTTGATATTAAATCTTCTGCTCCTACAAGAAACAACGGGCTTAATTAGTAGGGTCATAATTATTTTCACCATGATCATATTACCTGTATGTGCCTCGACTATCTTCGGGGAGGGATTATCGACCCAAGTAAGGTTAATATTTGGATCATCATTCCATAAATCATCCATAATGTCTGCTATTCTCGTAACTAATGAATTTTAATGTAAATGTTGTTTGCTTTTATACGCTAATTTGTAGGTATACCGCTTTAGCACTAAATTCGTAATACGCGGTTCGGGGGCTCATCATACTTAGGGGTCGTTCCCTTATTTCAAGGACATTGACCGAAGCATAAATACAAAGAATGTAATATTAGAATAATGCGTCTAAAAATAAAAATAAAGCATAAAGAAGATAAGATTTTTCGCACACGATTTAAGCGTCTTATCATAGCTGCTATAAATAAACACTATTGCGAGATTGCAGCTTCCCATCCTAATTATAATAACAAACAACTAAATTTCGCACCCGCGCCGCTAATGATTTATTGTAATGATTGTATTTTGTCAAAGCATATTCGAAAACCAATGTCATATTAGAATGTAATATTAGAATAATGCGTCTAAAAATAAAGCATAAAGAAGATAAGCTCATTTCCTTTCTAGTTAGCAATATGAATAATTATTTTTCGCACACGAGCGTCGTACGTATTATTTTATCATTTTAACGCGCTTCCCCGCCAAATAGCCCCTAGCCCCTAGCCCCTAGCCCCTATCGGCGACACACCCCCGCGTTATACCCTTCTACAACTCGCAAACATCTCAACGCTCTCCGTAGCGTTGTGTGGCTTGTGAGCTTATACGGCCATTCTAACAATACTTGAACTGCTAAACGTTCATATCTCAAAGCCTCGCTTAGCTCAGATGGTTAAGGCGGCAGATTCGTAATTCACGTATCGTGGGTTCGATTCCCAACGCAGATTGAAAAAAAAAAATTTTTGTCTATAGCAATCACGTGACCGATGACGCGATTCCAAAATAACATCCAAGATGGCGGATGGAGCGAGAGAGGCAGACAGACAGACGGTCAAAAATGGCGCCCAACAAAATGGCGGGATTAGATACTAATAAAATGGCGGCCGATCCAAGATGGAGGATTTAGTGACTAATAAAATGGCGACCAATCCAAGATGGCGGAAATAGAAACTAACAAAATGGCGACCAATCCAAGATGGCGGAAATAGAAACTAACAAAATGGCGACCAATCCAAGATGGAGGATTTAGTGACTAATAAAATGGCGCCCAACAAAATGGCGGGATTAGAGACTAATAAAATGGCTACCGATCCAAGATGGCGGAATTAGAAACTAATAAAATGGCGCCCAACAAGATGGCGGAAATAGAAACTAACAAAATGGCGACCAATCCAAGATGGCGGAGATTGGCTGTGACGTCACGAGCTCGTCTCTGATTGGCTGTGACGTCACGAGCTCGTCTCTGATTGGCTGTGACGTCACTTCCTGATCCAGAAGTCACATTGGTCATCTACTGTGGTATGGGCCCTCAACAAATTTCGAAAGTACATAATTATTTTCATATTATTGGCATCTTACCTCCAATTTTTTCAGCATAAAATATGTAAATTTTGACATGTAACCACTACTGAATTGCAGTTTTAAGCCGCCCGATGATGAAATGATTGTCAAAACGTGTAGCGCATTTTAAACCCTTTGTCAATTTTTCCGTTTACTATTTTCCAATTGTATTTTAAAGTATGGGGGAGGCTTAAAGTTTTTCTTCAACCCTACTCTACATTTGGATTAGGATTTGAAAAAAGGTCAAGGACCGCCGCTCGCGCCACCATATTGGGAAAAGTGCACGAAAATTCAGTTTTTCGATAATTTCTTCATTCCAGCGCTAACTTCTTTAAAAGTAGCTATTACGAATGTTATAGAGCACAAAATTTCCTATAACTTTCGTAATATTTAAAGTTTTTTAATCGGATAAATATTTTACGAGCCACAGCCGAATTTTTAAATCGCAATACTATTTTCTCCAAATATGGGTGGCAGATGTTCATTTGTTTCGTGTCTAGAGAGAGCGAATGCGAATTAAAAACTTTTACTCGGCTGTGGCTCGTAAAATATTCATCCGATTAAAAAACTTTAAATACGAAAGTTATAGGAAATTTTGTGCTCTATAAACTTTCGTAATAGCTACTTTTAACGGATTTGGCACTGGAACGGAGAAATTATCGAAAAACTGAATTCTCGTACCCTTTTTTCAATATGGCGGCGCGAGCGGCGATCGCTCAAGGTCGCAAACTCAGGGTATTATTCAGGACCCCCCAACTTAAAACTCATTAATACGGTTAAAAACTGCAATAATAGAACCCTTGACCTAATTTTAACTAACTTAAACGCGGAAATTAAATCTGCTGTCGACTCACTGGATAAAATTAATCCACTTCATCCTGCACTAGAAATAGTCTACAAAGTCCATAGACCAGCTAAGCGAATTACCAAATTAACCAACTTCAATTTCAAAAAAGCAGATTTTGTTAAAATGTACGTCCTTTTTCGCGATATCAATTGGAAGGAGTCTCTTATCCTGAAGAATTTCAAATCGGTAGATGATGCAGTAACTAGCTTTAATCAAACGGTAATGAACATTTTCGATGAATGTGTCCCCAAAGTCACAATTAGGAGTGCCAATAAGTATCCTAGCTGGTTTAATATAGACATTATTAAGAAAATCAAACAGAAAAATAAGTTTCGGTTACAGGGCCCATCGGAAGACTTCATTGAAGCCAGAAAAGAACTCAAAAGAATGATCCACATTGCTCATAAGAGGTACATTAATCAAATTGAAATGGATCTGCGGAAGAATTCCAATAAATTCTGGAACTACATCAAGTCGTTGAGGAAGAATAGTCAACTACCTGGAGTTTTTGAGTACAAAGACACCTCGTTAACGGACGCCAGAAGCATTGCGGACGCCTTTGCATCCTTCTTCGAGTCAGTCTACACTATGGAGAGGAACGATGACCCGGAAGATGACGTGGAATCGGACCTGGTGCTATCCAAATTGCACTTGACTCAGTTACATGAATCCGAGATACTGGAAGCAATTAAAAAATTGAAACCGAGGTCGGCTATAGGCGAAGATGGAATCCCACCCTACATCGTGAAAGGATGTGCATCTTTATTGGTAACCCCCTTACAACATCTATTTAATTTAGCTTTGCAAACATGTACATTCCCTGAAGCTTGGAAATGCACCAGAATAACACCAATTCACAAAAGTGGAAGCCGAAAATTAGTTGAGAATTATCGCCCAATTGCAATTATACCAGCAATAGCGAAAATTTTCGAAAGAGTGATCTATACTAGACTTTATTCCCATCTCAGCAGTATAATTGCAGATCAGCAGCACGGTTTCACGCGGAACAGATCAACGATTACAAATTTAATGCAGTTTACGCATTTCTCAGCAGGAGCCTTGGATGAGAGAGCCCAGGTTGACTGTGTTTATACAGATTTTGCGAAGGCATTTGATACAGTATCCCATCAAGTCTTGCTCCGTAAACTTGTTTTAAATTGCGTAAGTAATCCGACCGTCAAATTCTTAAAATCATATTTATCTCTCCGTAAAACAAGAGTGAAATTCAATGGTGTGAATTCAGCCGAATTTTATCCCACATCAGGCGTTCCCCAGGGAACACTTCTTGGTCCTTTTCTGTTTCTCTTATACATAAATGATTTACCGCGAGTGATAAAAAACTCGAAAGCACTACTATTTGCGGACGACCTAAAACTTTTTAATAAAGTCCAATCCCCAAGTGACTGTTTAAATATTCAAGAGGACATTAACTCAGTAATTAAGTGGTGTATCAAAAATAAACTAAAACTAAATATCAATAAGTGTAAAGTCCTTACTTTTACTAGATCGAAAAATCCCTTACTTTTTGACTATAAGATGAATGGAAAGGTCTTACTACGAGTCACCTCCGTTAAGGACCTGGGCGTGTTTTTCAATACCAACCTTAACTTTAACTTACACATTGAATACCTAACAAATAAGTGTTACAAACTTCTTGGTTTCGTTATCAGGCATACACTCAATTTCACGAATATACAGACAATGCTAACCTTATATAATGCGTTTATTAGATCCAAGCTTGAGTATGCTGCTAGTATCTGGTCTCCTCAAACTCTCAAATACTCAGACATGATCGAAAAAGTGCAGAAAAAGTTCATCCGAGTAATGTTTTTTAGGTCAAC